TGAGGAGGCTGGGTAGAAAAATGACTATGAGGGATCTAGAGTAAAATGGGTGGTTGGGTTTTTTTCAAAAGACTTGTAATGGAGACAAGTGTTCTTCCATTGTGAAGAACGAGAATAAAATCCAGATGAGCAGAAAGTTTCCTGACTTGCCAGTGGATTTTTTTTATTGTGTTTTGGCGGTGTTGGCTTGAAGAAGAACCCCGTGACATCTTCACACATGTCTAGCATCTGAATCATATACACCAGGGCTAAGCTTGTATTTCCCTCATGTCATGAATGCRGATGCCATTTGATGGACAGTGAATCGGTCAGAAGACTACCGGCGAGGTCAGTCGACCCATCAACCTTTTTTTTTTTCCCCTGAGACGATAAATGATCAGAAGGGTTTAAAATTACCTGTTGGCCTCCTGGAGGTTAAACCAAGCTGCAGCATTCTGTTAACTCAACACGGGTCTGATGAGTGCTGACTGCAGCTATAAAACCAGCTTGCTTTAAGACTCCTCACTGAGTATGAAGAGTGATATCACTGCTTTTTCACAAAACAGAAGTGATAAGTGATTTCACCTTTATGTCTCGGATAATTCATCTCAAGGAAAAAAAATTGTACACAGAGAAATTTACAGGCCTTTTCCTGCTTTTATATCACAATATTGTATTTTTATTGCCTGTTTAAAAAGCCTTGAGATGTTGATTTTAAATCTAAATAGCTGAAGTAAACATTCTTCCACCTACAATAACATAATTGCATATGATGAAAATGAGCAGGTCAAATTTACCACAAGTTCTACGGCTTAAGAAACTGTTGAGGTGATTTCCTGCAGCAAATCACCCCCAGTACCTAAATCGTGCCATGTGCATTTCTTACGAAGTCCTGAAACAAGAGGCAGAGTTGATGTTGTGTTTATGGACAATATAGTGTCAGCTGATTAAATGGTGATACATAATGAAAGAACAGATACCAAAGTGGCCAAATAAGTCACAGTCGAACAGGCTGTAAAGCTTCTGAAAAAGATACTTTGTTATTTCTAATTTATTTAGTTTTTTTTTTTGTTTGTTTGTTTTGTCTTGGTATTCTCATCAGAAGCTTCATTTCACCTAAATGAATGCTAGACATGTCCCTGACTGCACTGGAAGGTCCACATCTAGCTACTGCTGTTATTTGTGCTTGAGTATTTATAAAAAATGTGTACACAGAAACTATAGAGACATTTTTGAAATTTATTTTTTGTTTAATTGCCATCGGCTTACTTTAGTTTTGGTAGAAGTTAGCCGTTAGCTTAAATGTCAGGTCAGAACTGATAAAGCTAACAGGTAAAATAATTGGTCATAACTTAAAAAAGAACATTTCAAAAGATTGACACTATGTCTTTATTAGGCTTATTTTAGCAGACTGCACACTGTCTAATTAGTATACACTTTTTATGTGCATTAGTGTACCTTTGTTGAGCTTGTTCAGCAACATTAAGGCTTTACACGGCTATGATGTATTTTGCAGTTCATCACATTTGCTTTGGTCATTTAGCATGGTGTTTAACATTCAAAATTGAACTTGCAGATACTAGTCTTGGTCAAAAGCAAACGCAATACCATCACACCAAAAACTTTGGGATATGTGAAGGCGTGTTCAACAGTAGTCAAGCTCAGACTAAAGTCTGATTTAGACAGCTTGGTGACTTGCATCTGAAAGGCAATCCATCAAGGTAAACAAAAGACACGTTCCTCAGACAACAGGAGGTTTTAGTTTATTCTTTCAACACTTTATACAGCCTTTTGCTGAGCATGAAACAACTATTTTGCTTATTTTAGGGGAAAAAACATTTCCACCTTTAATTGGAATCACACATCACTAATGTTTCAGTTGCATTTTCTGTGGAAATCCAGTGTGATTGTTACATGAGTTGTTAAAGCTAAGTAAAGCTGAACTTTAAAAACTAAAAATAAAACATAGCAAAACACTATCTAAAAGTAGCAAATAACTATCCATCCATCCATCCATTTTCTAGCAAATGGATTGCCTAAAGCTAAATGTAGCATCCATCCATCCATCCATTTTCTGTACACGCTTCTTCCGTTTCAGGGTCGCGTGGGTCACTGGTGCCCATATCCAGCAGTCACAGTGCGAGGGGCGGGGTACACCCTGGACAGGTCGCAAGTCCATCACAGAGACACACATAGAGACAAACGAGACAAACAACCATTCACTCTCTCACTCACACCTAGGGACAATTTAGAGTTACCAATTAACCCAGGGGTGGGCAAACATGGTCCTGGAGGGCCGCAGCCCTACATGTTTTACATGTTTCCCTGCTCCACCACACCTGATTCAATCAC